CTCGTGATCTTTACTTTGTCCAAAACAACTGAAGTTGGATATGTAAAATGTTTGATCCCTGCCGATATAAATGCCACTTATAAGACACAGTAAGTTAGTTTGACACAAAATACCATATATGTTATTAAAAGGAGGGAAATTTGGAGAAGAGGCTTTTGCAGAGAGAGCACTATCTGGCCAACGAGAATGACAACGTCTTGCTGCAAGGGAAACCCTCATAAAGTTAAAATGATCTAAAAATACAAGAACAACTTTAGAGGAGTCTTCTCGAAGTGTGTAGATTTTTTAATTCTCTCCGCCTACAATTTCTGCTGACCAGAAGTTATAAACTTTCGGCAAAGGTAGTTCAAGTAGTGCACCTCATATACCCCGAGTACCAGCATTTTATTCTACGGAAACGGTGCTTATAGGGGTTTTGGGATGGGGAAAATAGGAAAGGCAGCTAAGGAAACTTGTATAAGTAAATGTAAAGTGGGAAAATGTATTTAAATTTGAGTCCCGCGGCCGCTGGGAGTAAGTTTTTCCGTATGTAAATTTAAGGTGTGCGCGGCTCTTCGCGCCGCGGACTATATTTATATTACTCCAGAACGGTAAGATGAATCTTAGGCACGTTGAAGTTGATGACCTCCTATCCACTCTTTATACTTTTTAGGAGCTTCAAGAAACCTACTTTTTGATAATCGGGTTTTTCCACAATAGGTTAAATGATAAAACAGATTAGGAAAATCTACACATATGAATCAACAAAATTTTTAAATACAACAAAATAGCAATGCATTTAAAAGTTATTATAGTATATTCCACTGCCTATCCTAATTCATCACCCTTAAAACCCCTATAGCCTCCGTTTCTGTAGGAAAAATGCTTGGACAAGGGGTATATGAGGTGCACTACTTAAAATACTGTTGCCCAAATTTCTTCTTACAACTGACTACTGGCAGAGGTGAACTAAGCAGGCGGATTCTGCCAACCTCTGCAAAAATACTTATTGTATGCAGTTAGAAAGTATTGTTTTGAGTCTATGAAACATAGCCTGTGCGACCTGCTGATTTAAGGGCACAGTGCAGGAAATACCTTGAAAAGACTAATTTAACGAAGAAATTCCACCTCCTTTGCAAACATGGTAAGAGACACACAACATCCATTACTTTTTAAGGTAGTAGACTATGGTGTGCTTATTTGAAATTCACCGCTAACTTAAAGCCAGAGTGCTTCAAAAGAGGTTAGTTTTGTTAAAATGTATAGTGAAGCTCTAATAAATTGGCTAACCACCTAAGAGAAACTTTCCTTTTACATTCTGTCTATAATTATATTGCCCGTAATATGTCTTAACTAAACACGTTCATAGTGTAATATTTGTCAGTGGAAATTGTGTTCATCCTACGTGCATTTACTATTACGTTATACGGAGCTAAATCAATTCACTGAATATCTTTAAAGCCCGCATCTGTAAGATACTATATATTCGTCATCAACAACTTTACTCATTTATTTTGGATTCAAATGGCAAAGTATGTGAACATCGTTCGTACGTGACTTTACAGTGAAATTAGAATATCACTTAGTGAGACCTCCCTTAAGCTGATAATTTATCAAAATCTTGAGATGATTAATTTTATTTTTCGTTTAATGGAGGACTTGCTTAGAATAACATCAAATTTTGCAATGCTACATATTCCGTGTTTAGACTTTTCAAATACTTTTAATTCGGTATTTTCATTAAGAGCATGAATTTTGACATAAATGTCGTTTTGAAAAATACACTAAGGATCTTTTTCCATTTTTCGACGTTAAAATAAACAGTTAACCTGCAAGATGCTCGTTAAGCCTCAACGAAAAACAGGACGATCGGAGACAGCAAATGTTACTTCATGTTCAACGTCTTAGGTTGCTGGTTATCTTATTTGATGATCTAGCCGTGCAAATAGAGCCTATAATTTTGAGTTGGATTACATGCACAATTCCACCGGTACTTATTGACAAAAAATAGTAATAGGGGAGGTAAAAAACAAGGTTGTATTTCGTTTTTTCGATTAATTATCATCCAGGTAAGTGTTGCGGTGTATTGGCGGTTCTATCCGGTGGTTCTACTGTTTTGTTCGGGCTCAAGCTCAGTGAAGTAGACATTTCTTTCAAACGTTTACAAAGTTGTAGGGATTAAGTACGAATTTTTAGCAGCAGAGGAAGTCACATATGCTGTTAGATTGATAAGCCTCGTTCTATCACATCGTATATTCATTAACAGAATTGTATAATGTAAAGTAAACCAACTGATATAATTTAAAAACTACATTTCGAGACGATGCTGTCTCTCTTTGATAGCGACATTGAAAAAGAGTTTTTAAGATTTAAATTCTTAATTAACGCCTTGGATTTTTTGCGGATACTTCAATGCTCAGGACGTTTATTTCTATGTGAAATGCTTTCTAGACTTTTTTTACCGATGGAGATAGATGTAAACAGAGTATTTTTGGGCACTGTCCATGTGCGTACACATCGAGAGTGACGTAACAAACCTGCCAGTAAATAAGGAAACAGATTCACCGACCTGGATATCGGACTCGGGCGTACTCCTCGGGAAACTCGTCGTAGGCCTCGGGGTAATCTTGCCAGGAAAAAGCATCAAAGTGGGAGCATCCCGCGATCACAGCCAGGCCAAGAATGAAGACTACCGTAGGCATGTTTTTGAGTAATTCCGGGAGTTGGAATTAGTGATGATGATAGTTCACGATTTCCGTAAAGGACACCTCTCTCGCGTCATGCGAGGTCACAGATTTTTGCCTCACTGCAGTGTTCTCTGGTGTTTGCTCATCCCT